CAGACAATCTGTTCACGTGAGCAGCTGTCAGTCAGCACCTGTCATCCTCCAGACGCATGACGGAGCGTGTCTGAGCCAATCATCTTTTTTGACACTGAGCAGCTGACTGATTTAAATACATCTTAACATTCATGAGGTACTTCTAATTGACTATTTATGGTTGATTGTGGGCGTGTAGAAGGTAGAACCTGAGGCGGAATCTTGTGCGCAAACTCTGAGGTGAAGCTATGATCTAAAAAGGGAGGGTGTGCAGAAACGTGCGTACGCACGGTTTTATAAATCTGAATTTTTTTTTGGCATACGCCATTTTGGCCTTTTGTCCGAATGTTCACTTTTAGTWTGGTTTCCACACAATCTTTTATAAATGAGACCCCAGATTTCTCGTGTTTAACATCAGAGGTCACACACAGAGGTGAAACACTCACTGGTTTACTGCCAAGCTAACACTGTTCAATAAAACAAAACATATTGTACCACAAAACACTTTCTTTACTTCATTATTCTTCTTCCCAGAGTGCAGAATGCTGGGACAATAAACCAATAAGAGTTTGTCATTTAGCTCAGACTTACCTGCAGATATGGCCAGGTCCACATTGTGAGTGTGTCTCTCTAGACACTGAACAACCACGTCCAAGAGACCTGATCTGTTGAACATAGACAGCGCCTGGCTGCTGTTCTCACTAGCAGGACAACAAAGATATGAGAAAAAATATATAATTAATACACAACATATCTGACAGGGGCAGATACTGCGTGTCAAAAAAATAAAGGGAACACTACTGCTCAAAAAAATAAAGGGAACACTTAAACAACGCACGCTAACTCCCGATCTTAATAAATGAAATATTCGCATTGAGGACTTTGTTCTGTACAGAGTTGAATGTGCTTCACAAAAGTTTGATTTACTTGGACTTAGCGTGCGTTGTTTAAGTGTTCCCTTTATTTTTTTTTTGAGCAGTGTAAGCCCTCAGGGCAGGGCGTCGTACCGAACCTTGGGGCACCAAGACTTTTTTTTTTGTTTTTACACTCCATAAATTTAGTAAACTTCATAAGCAGCATGCAGGTGGCTGCAGTCATTTAACGAAGCCTGAGTAAGGCACAAACAGAATAAACTGCCTCGGCTTAGAAGCGCTTTTCCAGCTTCAGCAGCTGTTGTGTTTTGTTTTCCCAATCTCCRGTACAGGTCAGTTCGTAATTATTTAATGCACGTAAATTTCATAAACATCCATAAGTTTGGGGGTTATTGTTATATTAGGTTGGCATTTTTTGCAATAATTTCGAAAACAATTTAACGTCAATCAAAATTTGTTATGTAAAGATCCAGAGTACAGAAATAATTTATAGAAAAATAAAACCCATTGATATTTGAATTTAGGACAATAAAAAAGATTTCCTAATGTTTAAAGCTTGAATTCTAGAGGCCACCTGCAAACAGGAAACACACAGGAGCTCTCTGGATTACTTTTGAAGCTTTATCTTTTCTACCTTGATCTACATGCATTACAGTTCAGAGCAGCTAACTGTGCTACTGTAAAGAGGAGTGAGGGATGATTTAATGAAAACAGTGTCTATGACTTTACTGTGGCTTACCAGAGATTCCACAGCAGGTTTACGGCCTCATTGGCTACATCCTCCACAGGATTTTTCTGGTCTTTCATTTTCACAACAGCACTGTCAAAACCAGCACAACACTGGGGAAAAAAATGAACAATGAGGTACCAGCCACACAACAAGTGGATATGAACATATTTGTATGGAAATGTCTAAATGTTTTATGAAAACTCAGCTCAGCCTTAAATGAGACTTTTCAAATATACAGTTCATGATCTCAACCAAAGGTCAGGAGAACGCTCGACTTGAGCCAATTTTTCCAGCATGCAGGCAGGTTTTTTTTTCTACACCTGGCTCAGCTTTGGAATGACATCTAATTGCAGCAGATCCTTTTTTTAGCTTGCTGATGAGGAGGAACCGAAGCGGTGGAGTGAGCTAAAAGCAGCGGTGGAGTCTCACCTCTCTAAGCAGCGCCGTCAGAGGAGTCATGACATCATGCTTCACCATGTCCTCGCACACCTCCTGACCCCCACATGCACTCAGATTTCTGCAAGAGAGACAGACAGTCCCAGACGCACACTCATCAGTCGCTTAGAGGAGGCTAGCTGCGAAAGATGCTGCTGGTACGTCGAAACCGTGAGCTGCTGTGGTGCACAGAGAAGATAAACAAAGCTAAATTATGCATGTTTACGTATTAATCGCCAAGCGCCAAATATTAATTGTCAAAGGTTTTTCTGACTATTCGTTGAACATGATACGATTTTGCCCTACCCTAATCTTATTGTTCAGTATTTTCCTAAAGAGACACTTTGGTTCCTAGAGTTCATTAAAGCAGAATAAGAGGCAGAGCTTCCAGTTATCAGGCTCCTCTCTTGAGAAGCAAATTTCCCGTTTATTTATTTTATTTATTTATTTAATCAGGACAGTGCACATTAATGAACACCTTATACTTCTGTATAGACTGTAAATAAAACCAGATTATAGCAYTGTTGCTAATTTACATCTGTAATACTGAGGCAGGAAGACAAAACACCACAAGTTCACAATTAATCATTAATTTAAAAAAATTAAATAAATGAACAGCCCAAGTCATTTAGGCATCAAATTCCTAACAGTTTATTTCATGGCGCCCTCTGTTGAAGTAAATCGACAAATACAGATGTATTTTACCATGAGCTGTAGATTTCAGGTTTAGTCACTGAATGCAAACAATTACTGACACAACATGAAATCAGAATACTTTATTAATTTGCACAATTAGATTTTGTTTCCCGAGAAAGACAGCTTTACATACTGAAAAGCTGCAAATGCTTTTTTCTGAACTCTTCTGTGTTCCGCTTTAAGTAAAGCCGATTGGCCTTAAACACACAAATTACACAAACGTCTCTACGAACTCACCTGAGCGCCCCGGTGGCAGTCTCTCTGACAGCCAGGCTGCCGTCCAGCAGCATGGGGCCCAGACGTTTCACTGCTCCCCTTTGGAGGAAACCAGGGATGCTCTGGCTCTGCTGAACCACCCGGGAAATACTGGCGCACGCAAACTCACGAACATCTGCACTGGGACTCTGCAACTGTGTAGACATGAAACTCTCTAAATACAACCAGCACAACCTATAATACAACCTAATCCCAACAGAACACACAGAAACACAACAGGGCCTCAAATGTTTAAAATACTCGACCAGACTGAGCATGACCACCTTACAGACACACCTGTATCCAGGTTCTTAGTCTTCTGGTCAGGATCATGTTTTTTTTTTTAAGATAATGAATTTAATCGGTTTATGTAAGTGATAATTTGAATGACATCTAATACTTTTCTCTTATACAGATCAAACTCTAGGTTCCTGCTGTTCATTTGGACCTATCTGAGCTTGAATTACATTATATTGTTCTCACATTTGTAATGCAGACTGTCCATCCATCCATTATACCCATTTCATCCTTTTAGGGTCACTGGTGCCCATATCCAGCAGTAAGTTAATTTTGTTAAACTCGTTTTAAAATAGGTATATTTGAATATCTTGTAGGTTTATGTTGTTATAATCTGTCCATAACAGATTGGTGAGTGAGTAGCTCACTCAAACTGAACGAACACCCTGCTGTGTGTTCATTTTAAATCATCTGAGCTTCCTGTAAGCCAGGGACTCGTCTGTCAAAACAACGCGTTCATTTAGTCGGTCGCTTGTGAACAGAAAGTCTCAGTAATTCAACTAAATAACTTACAAAAGCTTTGTGACGTAAACACGTGTGTAAACCCCTTGTTTTAAAGCCCGAGCTGTRGCTGTGCTGCTGCTCTTACTTTCTCCAACAGCTCCGCAGCTGGACAGTCGTCTTCGTCGTGCTCTTCAGCGGCAGGGTCCTCCTCCTTCACGGCGTTCACCGGCAGCCCCACCGAATTGAACTGCGGACGTTTAAACTTTGTGGTTTTACTTTTACCCATTTCCACACGTGTCTGTCGTGGTTTTGTGTCGTCTGTCGTTGGTTCGTGGTGAATTCTGGCGAATGAGAGTCAGTGACACCGAACCACCGCTTCAGGGAGCCATGTGGAAGAGCCGCTTCCGCCGTAAAGCGAGGGGCCGCTGCCGGCCGAAAAGCGGTGACGCTGTCGCAAATACAAACAGCGAAAATGAGCAGCCAGATTTATTAAATTAATGTTGTATAAAGTACTTCAAAGTATGGAAGCCCATTTCCGCCACCCTGATAAAAATAAATAAAACTTGTATCTCATAATTATGACTTAGCTATCTCATTATTATGAGATACTATCTCATAATTATGAGATTCTATCTCATAATTATGACTTAGCTATCTCATTATTATGAGATAGTATCTCATAATAATGAGATAGCTAAGTCATAATTATGACTTAGCTATCTCATAATTATGAGATAGTATCTCATNTCATAATTATGAGATAGCTAAGTCATAATTATGAGATACAAGTTTTATTTATTTTTTATCAGGGTGGCGGAAATGGGCTTCCATATCAAAGTGATACTTGAGTAAAAGTACAAGTACCTTATCATAAAAATACTTTGGTAACAGTTAGTCCTTTCTAAAAATATTACTTGAGTAAAAGTCTTAAAGTATCTGATATTTTTTGAAAACCCTCAGAATAAAATAGGAGTAACGACTTTCTACTTATTACCTTTTTTTTTTTTAATGTAGAGTAGAAAGTACAGATAATTGTGTAAAATGGTAATGAGTAAAAGTAAAAAGTACGCAGAAAAATAATTACTCAAGTGAAGTACAGATAACGAAAATTTCTACTTAAGTACAGTAACAAAGTATTTGTACTTGGTTACTTTACAACTCTTAAATTATTTGTAACAAAACAGACAAAACAATGAGACATGTTCACACCTGGTGTGTTTATTTGGTAAATAACTTTAAAAATAGAAACATTTTGATAAAACACATGCTTAACTTCACAAACAGAACTAAACACATCTGCACTCACACTTGAATGCGTAAAATTCAAAGCTGATGTGAGAGGACCAGCAGCTTCAATAAACACATTAACACAGCGACACTTATTTTTTTAAAAATTGTCTCTTTCAGTTCATTGTTTTTCCATCCCATTCAAAGTCCATTTTTGTCAAGGTGACAAAATCCTTGGGGTCAAAGATGATCAAAACTCAACTAAACAAAGCACACTGGAGTGTAGTTACTGGATATTAGGTCGTGGTTTGAGAATGAGTTTCCCCGTCTGTAAAAACAATCAGAGAAGATGTGTTCAAAAATGCAATTAAAGAAAAATAATTCCAGGTCAAGATATAAAAAAAGAGGACTCACATCGTCACAGGACATGTTATACTCTGCTAAAACTGTGCGGCAGCGGGCTGCGATTCTGAAAAGGCCAAGGTTATGGACAACAACCGGAAACATGGACATAAAGGGTCATTTTACTGTGAAGCTGCTTAACTGGGAAACCGGATAAATATTTTCACTTCATATCTACTGTAGCAGAAAAGGATACATTGAGGGYGCCACGACTCGTTTGTGTATCCCAGCAAAGAAGAGAGCTATTAGAGTGATGCAGCTGATGGTGAAGAAAGGATGATTCCACAGTGATGACAAGAACGAGACCTGCAGAACAGGAGAGGAAGAGCACTGAAGACTAATAAACCTTTTCACATTTAGTAAATTAATTACTAAATTAATTACTAAAAGCTGATGTTGAATATATTCTGCATTTAAAAAGGACACTATATTTTCACATCTCCCTTGCACTCAGAAAAAAGAGTCCAGACTGTTGCTTTTGATGATAATATTTCAAGGTCATGTGATTAATGACAGCTTCACGTGAAATAAATTGATTTTAGTACAATTACACAAAATAGCTAAACATTTTATGTAAGTCTAATTGAATCCTTTGTTGGTTTTGTTTAAATATGGGGACATTTTGTGACTCGCCTGTTTAAAATGTTACATTTAATTTTGTCACAAGTAAAACCATCTTCCATCTGTCTTTCTCTAACATTAGCAGCACAGAGGTTTGGTTCTGTAGAGCCAGATGTCTTGCCTTTCTTTCAGTGATACAAACCTTTTGTGTGTCGGGATCTATGAGCCAGTTCCAAGCTCCAGTGGCCGTACAAACGGACACCACTATCAGGATCACTGAAACAGAGGAGCAACAACAATAAATTACCACCTACACACATTGGTTGGTCCTACATCTCTTGTTTAGGATTAGTGAAATGTTACAAGTTTTGCTAATATAAATGAAGCACATCTTATATAAATATACACCACACGAGTGCATCAGTACACATAGATATTATATTGTAATTAGCACTTATTCGTTATACTAGCATWATTGTAACACAAAAGTTACTTACTTCGCCACCTGCCCGTTGCAGGCTGCAGACAGGAGACATACTCTGTCAGTCTCCTCTCAAAGGCCTTCAGGTCTGCCCAAACATAGAAACAATACAGTACTGGATACAAAACGTGTCTGTTTTCTTTAGTGAGACAAGTTCTCTTGACAAATGAGGTCAGCATCAACATGGGAGTTCAGTTCAACAAGCCAAATTTGTCTAAATGGTYGTTTTAATGATAATTTAAACTCAAAACCACAGAGACTACAACGTGTAAAAAACGTATAAAATTGATGAGAGCTGGTTTTGCTAAAAGTTACGTACTAAAACGCACAACATTGTAAATTTAATTAGCAGTCAGTGAACAAAATATATTTTTGACTGAACGGCATGACAGTTAGCAAAAAGCTACATCTCGCAGACAAATGAGTCAACTATCGTAATGTTACGGCAAGCTGTTATGACTTTATATTGTTCTTTTTCAACATTAKTACAGTCCAGCAAGGTGGTTAGAACACGTTTTAAAATGTGTTCAGTTAAGTTGTTCAGTGATTTTGTTACCTTCGGCCTGCTCCAAGGAGTTCATCTCTGAGCCGTCTGAAGCAATGTTCTGTTGTGTCMGTTTCCTCCTTCGCTGACTGACAGGCCGAAGGACCAATCAGCTTTGTCTGAGTGACAGACTCCTCCTCTTGACTAGCGAATGAGCGTAAGGGTACACACACTTAAGCCCCGCCCAACTGTAGAGAAAAATAAGAGTTGTGGTTGTAATGGCCACTAGATGGCATTGTCTTACACTTTTTTCATAGATAGCTTTTTTTTTACATTTAGTTAAAATAGGCCTCATTCATTCCTCTTTTTAATAAAGAGATTTTGTCAAATCATTTAAGTAAAATACGTCACAAAAGTTTATTCTAATTATTTTTTATTGTTTATTCTAGTAAAACTTGTAGATAAGTAAGAAAGGAAAAGTCCAAATTAAACTATGTGAGAAAAAGAAAAGCTTGAATATTTTTTATTTGACTCTGACAGTCTGTGAGATTTTATCTTGACAATGACATGAAAGAAACAGGGTTTGAATTTCAATGTTTTTTATTTGTCCATTCAAAATAGCAAGACATAACACACAATAGTATACTTCATTCATCTGTTCATAAAGCTATAGTCCCTTTCACTGTAGTTTCACCCTTCTCATTTTTAGATTTATAAAAATAAAATAAAAAAAAGCATTCTTATTCTTTCGTAATCTCTTTCATTATGCAAATCTTTTAACTTTGGTATTTCAGAATTGGCAAAGTAAATTAAAAAGTTGCATTGATATTTTGATTGTACTTCTTTTCAGTCACATTGCATATTTATGTGCAGAAGACAAGCTTCAAAGCAGTTTAGAGCAGATTATGAAACAAGTAACTCGTTAAAAATAAAATTGTGGGTTTTTTTGATCTAGCGCCAGCGTTTAAAAGCTAAAGCAAAAGGAGATGTTATTTTCTATATGGTGTAGATGACTTTTTCATTTACAGGCTTCAGTTTCTTCTGCAGCTTCACATTGAACTGCTCCCTCAGAACTGGTTCGAGCTCATCCTCTGTGATGTTCCTCATGTCTACAACGTCTATTCCTTCCTCGGGTTTGTAGGTGACCTCGCTGTAGGWCCAGCCAATCAGAACTCTGAATCCTGTGGGGGTCTGCAAGGAGCAGATGGACTTCTTGACGAACAGACAGGCCGGATCTGTTTGAAGTTTGTGATTCTGCTCGGAGAAACTCTTTGCCTCACAGGGCTCCAGAGAGAAGCAGTAGAACTGTTTCGTCAACTCCCTGCTCACCAGACTGGAGTTGGCGAATTCTGGATTGGGAATTTCTGGTTTCCTGCCGGTCTTCTCCAGGATCCAGGTGCCCTCCTTCTCAATGAGACGAAACACCCCCGCTGCCTGTGGCTGGTCCTTTCCTGCGATGAGCTCCAGTGGCTCCCATATCTGACATGACACCCCGAAGCTTACATCAGCTATGTAAGCCTTCCCGTCAATGACCACCTTGTGAATGAGATGATTATTAACCGAACTGAAGTTGCCCGTGCTGTTGTTGAAGACTCTGGAGCCCAACGTTGTGGCATCGAAGCCCATTTGTCTCAGCACCCATCCAAACAGGTAGTTGTTCTCCAGGCACCAGCCTCCGCGGCTGCTCCTTACTAGCTTGTCGAAAATAGCCTCCAGATCCATGACGATCGTCTCACCGCAGTGAATGCTCAGGTTCTCAAAGGGGATGGACATGACGTGCAGTTTGTGGACCAACTTCAGCGTCGCAAGATCCGCTTTGTCACAGGAGCTGTGGAAACCAATTCTTTGGAAGTACTCCTGCAAATTCATCTTGCCTGTAGAAAAGCACAGTTTTAGGCAAATTTACTGAGTCACTTCTCAAAACTTGTTTTTATTTAAATTTGGTGCAAATCAGTGCAATGGTTTCTTGTTTTTTTTTTAATAATGAAAAATGAATCCAAGTCTACCTATTTATATTTCAAAACTCTGGTTGGAGCACTAATAAACACCAACGGTTAGCTACCCAAAATTTAAGAAGTTTATGGTTGCTTTTGCATGTAGGCCATTTGAGGACACATCATTGTAAGAGTTCACATACAAATGTGCAAATTTATACATTACTTAAGTCATTCAACGTGTTGTCTGATTATTTAAATTTAGAAAACTGCAAAAAATATATATAAAGTCTAAATCAGGTGATACATGTGCCTCGGATTTTGCAATCAAGGAAAACAGAAATAGTCATAAATAAGTCATAAGTCAAAAATAAAGGTAAAAAGAACAGAGCTACACTCTCGTGCATAATGCTCAATATGTTTCACAATTCGTGACACTTTTCAGGATAAACAGAAAACATGATCAAATTTGCACTGTCCTGCCTGTTTTATAGTTTCCTCTGCTCCAACACACCTGTTTTGAATGAATGGGTGATTTGAAGGATTCTGCAGAACTTGAAGAGCTAATTCAATCACTGAATCAGGCGTGTTAGAGCAGGGAAACAAGTACAACATGCAGCCTTATTACAAACGCAAGCTTTCAATAAAAAAGGGCACCAGATTTTTTTTTCCCAGTCAATGAAACTGGAGTCCATGTAAGGCAAAACCAGTCGTTAGATTACTTGATTTAATTATCAAACCTCAAACGCTGAGGCCTGAATCTGTTTATCACAGATAATTCTTCATCATAACTAAATAAAAAAACATCATCATTGCAACAAAAAATTAACTCTAAAATTTGGGAATAGTATTCTGAGGAATGACTTTGTCTTTTTTTAAACAACTGTCTTCATTGAATTATTTAATTTAATGATTTGAAATAGGACTTTGATTATAAGTTGTTACAAGTTGATTATGAATTGTCAAATTTGATAAGAATCAGGTCAGAAGTGAAACACTTATTCAACTTGAAGTTGAAGCAGAACAGAATTGTTTTTATTGATTTATTTGTTTTATTATATTTTATTTCCCCCCTCATCATAAAACAAACAGTTCCTTACCAGATCAATAAGCTGGTGGATGATTATCGACTCTGCCTTGGTTCCCTCAGAAGGTTGATCAAAACCAGTGGAAGCCCAAATCTAACTTTTACTCCATATAGATAAGCCAACTAACACATCGCTCCAGGTTGCAGCCCGCTTGCAGACTTCTTCATTTCTGGTCACGTTGGACTAAAACTCAAATCACTGTTCATTCAACTTGGTGTCAAACTGCTGACGCTGCAACAGGAYTGAATGTTCAGATTGTTCTGTTCAAACAAACCGATAGCAGCGGGTCAAAAGTCTAAACTAACTCTACCTTTCCCCCCATTTACTTTTCCTTGAAACTTTTATTTTCAACGATAAGGCGTGCCTCAACTCAGCTGTCACTGTAACTTTCAAAACAAAAGCATTATTCACGCGAATTAAAGTCAACCATATCGTTATTTTAAGTTGAAAGCAAACAGTCGCTTATTAGTTTCTTCACATTTAATTTTAGTTTTTACGTATAAAAACGATACAAGCAAAATGCCAAATTTTCACTAGTTGCTGCTTTTTTATTTTGAATAAAACGTGACGGTGCTTCCGGTTTGTCGTGATCACGTGACAACCGAGCAGGAAGCTAAMGCCGACATCTCTCCGTACAGGATTTGCGGGTCTGTAAAGTCATTAAAAAGCTAATATTTCACTCGCCTTGCACGCAGTTCGGAACGAGGTTAGTGTCACCAGAGTCAGGATGTGTTAGAACCGTGTAAGATACCGAAAAACCTGTTCAGACAGAGCGAATGTGTCAAACTGTTGTAATGTAGCCCAGTGGTTCCCAAACTTTTTATCTTCTGACCCACAAAATATTCATGGCAAAAACTTGTGACCCCAAATATTACTGGTCTGAGTACACAAACTCTGTTAATAACCCTAAAAACACAGGCTTTTTGACAATCTAAACAGCTTGTACACAAATATAAATACTTATTTATACTTATTTTTTTTGTGTTTTTGTAATAGTTATAGGGAAAATATTACATCAGTTATTTTATTACCCTTTAAATTAATTTTTGGAGATTATCCAAGGTGCTTCATGACCCATAATTGGGTCCCAAGCCCAACTTTGGGAACCAAAGTCACCTATTAATCCACAGGGAGACTGGTTCTTTTACAGACGATGTTTGTAATAACACTGCTTAAGCATTAATGACCAATGCTTTAATGCAAGTTTAAGTAAATAAAGGTCATGTGTACTTAAACTTGCATGAACTTGTCATGTTCAGAACTTCAGAAAATCCTAAATCTGTTCGATACTTGATGTGTTCCAAACAAAACATGAACTGTTGCAGCTTTTTTCATGCCTCTCTAACATGCTTTCATTTGTGGTAAAACTAAAATAATAAAGCATAAAATCAAAAGTTTAGTTGCAACAAATTTTAAACTCGGATTTATTTGTGAATCGTAACTGTTTTGCATTTAGTAAATCTTTGTTATTATTACAAGTGAATTGGAAACATCTGTTTAGCATACAGTTTTTGTTTAGGAAAATGTGCATGAGTACAATATTTAACCAAAACTATGGGAACAATCGATTTCCAAAGTATGGCAAAAAAGAAAAAAACATTAGCAATTTTTTTTGATATTTTGCTTCCGTGCCAAAACATTTTGTTGCTCAAGCTAAACACAATTGTTGGATTTCTTCATACGTTACTGTTGGACCTCTTTTAGGTTATTTGTAGTTATTGCTGTTCGTTTGAGTTTGTATTTTCATGAGTCTGCATTTGTGTGCCATTCTAATCTTGCATAATCTCGTAAACTCACAGATTTTCCTTGGTGCGATGGAAAACAAGCATAACACGTACTTAATAACTGGAGGATGTGGATATTTTGGCTGTCGGTAAGAACATGTTAATGTAGTTTATGTTCACTGTCAGTATTGTGCAAACCTGCTTTATGACCACAAGATGGCAATGTTGTACTGTTTACCAATTATTTTGGCGCCATAGGCCTAAATTATTGAAATGAGTGAAGTCATTTTGTAATTCATTTTTAGTTAAAGCTGTTTTATGTGTTTAATATTATCACATTGTTTATTTGCAGGCTTGCATGTGCTCTGCAGAAACAGGGAGCCAGGATCATTCTGTTTGACACCAACCCTCCGAGACAAGAAGTTCCTGAAAATGTCGTGTTTGTGAGTGGCGATGTACGTGAATACGCACAAGTTGAGAGGGCCGTCACTGGCGTGGACTGCGTGTTCCACGTTGCCTCCTATGGCATGTCTGGTCGGGAGCAGCTGAACAGGAGTCTGATAGAAGCAGTCAACGTCGAGGGAACGCAGAACGTCCTGAAAGCTTGCGCAGAGCGTGGAGTGTCGAGGCTGGTGTACACCAGCACCTTCAACGTGGTGTTTGGAGGCCAGGTCATCGAGAACGGTGACGAGAGCCTTCCTTATCTGCCCCTCCACCTTCACCCTGACCACTACTCCAGGACCAAGTYTTTAGCTGAGATGGCGGTGCTGAAGGCGAACGGTACGGCTCTAAGGGGCAGCCCTGAAGTGCTCCAAACCTGCGCCCTGCGCCCGGCGGGTATCTACGGGCCCGGCGAGCAGAGGCACCTGCCCAGGGTTGTCGGCTACATCGAAAGTGGGATCTTCAAGTTCGTCTATGGAAGTCCCAGCAGCCTGGTGGAGTTTGTCCATGTGGATAACCTGGTGTCAGCCCACATGCTAGCAGCCGAAGCCCTGACCGAGGAGAAGCAGCACCGCTCTGCTGGCCRGGCGTACTTCATCTCAGACGGCAGGCCCGTCAACAACTTCGAGTTCTTCAGACCTCTGGTCGAGGGTTTGGGATATCCATTCCCCAAGCTTCGCCTTCCTCTTTCTCTCATCTACCTGTTCGCTTTCCTCACAGAAATGCTTCACCGCCTCGTCGGCCCCTTCTACGACTTCCAGCCGCTGCTGACACGCACCGAGGTGTACAAAACCGGCGTCACGCATTACTTCAGTTTGGCGAAAGCCAAAGCGGAGCTGGGCTACGAGCCACGGGAGCACAGCCTGGACGAGGTGGTGCGCTGGTTCAGAAGCAACGGACACGGGAAGAGGAGTCGCAGCTCCTTCGTCGGTAGATTTTTCTTCAACGTGTTGTTGGTCTGTGCCTTTGTTGCTGTGGCTCTTTCCTTTCTGCCGGTCGCTGGCAGCTGATGACACGCTAAAACCGAACGAATCATCAACCGCAGACACGAACGCTCGAGAGCGATTCATAAAAAAAATACTTGTCATTTTCAGTTGTTTCAAAAGGTTCTTCGTACACTGTCRACTTTTAAAGGAAAAACAAATGTAGTTTCTGACAACCGATTAGAGACCAAATCTGTCTTTTGTTGCTTTTAGGGCTCAACCGTTTCTACCTCTTTATCTCATTTAACTTTTCAAGATAAACCCTAAGGACAATAATTACTACCTGGTGCTGATGGATGATGTGTTTTTAACAGTATGACTCATAAATAAAACCTGAGCAACATGTCAAATATACCTTATTTGCTTTAGTCATTTTTAATGTTTATCGTGTCACTTGATGGTGTAGAAAAGGAGCAGTTTAGTCATTTTAATAAATGGTAATGACCTTGGCACTCCACTTCTTACACCAGTTTTATCTGTAACTGCAGGGTTGTTAAACTTTATTTTTTGGTATTCAGAACGTGCATCTTTTAGATCGAGTCGGGCAGATTATTATATCAAGAGGTGTGTTAAAAAAAAACTGGATAAACTTGAGTTTAAAGCGCTCTCCTCGTTTTTAAAGCCAGTTATTGCTGGTGTAGGAGTCGGACCAGGTGAGGCGTGCTTTGTGCTGGATTTCAGTCCGCCTTGGATGAATGCAGACGTCCCCTTCTCTCTCTTTCGCTCCCTCTCTCTCTCTCTCCCTCCCTCTCTCTCTAAACTATTCTCTTCAGAGCCCGGCAGCCCCTTGCTGAGTTGGTCGCAATCATTGTTTCTCTGCAGCATTAACCACATTCCAGAGAGGCGCAGCACATCCCGTCTCCCTCCCCGCATTCCTTTCACACGAACAAGTCCCCGACCCAAAACGGCATACTTTTTTTTTTAATTTAGTATTATTATTTTTAAAAATCTCTGTTCTTTTCCGTTCAGCGAGCCCACATCGACAAAACAGAGCTCATTCGCGGGGTGAAAATGTATCCAAGCCGCTCTAACTTCTGCTGAAGCGCCCCGCCGGAGAGATTTGGAGGAAAGAAGGGGGGCCGACGAGGAGAAATTCCTCCGCGCAGCGCGCCATTGACTGTAAAGACCTTTCAACTTAACAAAAACTGAAGTTGACAAAACGTATCGCTGTCGGGGACGAAACTGTGAGAAAGAGTTTGTGTTTTTCGGCGACAGGAAGGGGAAAGCAGGAGAGGACTATGCGGCTTTCCGAGGCGGTTTTTATGGCTCCGCCGGTGGGGTTTTTTGGTAAATGAGAGACGGGGGTGGGGGGCTGCGCGGCGGCGTTTTGTTTTGATTTCCATGTGAAACACAAATTAGTGCTCCGCCGTCTTTCTCTCCCTCTCAACTTGCTCCTCGCCTTAACATGGAGCATTATCAGGAAGACCTGGGACTCCGGGCCGCCGCACTGATGGAGGACCTGTCCTTGTACGAAGCCTACAAAGACGGGATGTACAGCGCCAGGAGGGACTTGGTGATCAGCCCGGACTTGGACTTTTCGGCTCCGGCGGCCGCGGAGCTGAAGCCGGTGAACGGCAGCTCCGCGCTCCACCAGCAGCGTCACACCGTGGAGAATTTCACGGCCGGGAATAAAGTGTACAACGCGGCTCCGGTGCGTCCCGTGAGCTGCAGCCGGACGGTGCCCGTGGACTTCTGCGCCCCGCAGAGAGACCCGGCTGACGAGGACGGCTGCTGCACCAAGTCCGAGGTGGCTCTGCCGTGCTACTCGGGCACCTCCTCCGAGAGGCACCGGCGGTACTCCCTGGAGGTGCAGGGCCACAGGTACAGCACCGGCTCCGCCTTCGACGGCGTGCCCCTCAGCAAAGCGGCGCCTCCGCCCGGCAACAGGTGCAACAGCGTCTGCATCCCCGGCAGCCACGACGGCAGGTACGGCGCCGCCAGCCCCCGCTCCAGCCTGGTGGTGCCGGGCCACGACAGGTACACCAGCCCCAGGTCCAGCATGGTCCACTGCGAGGGCGCCGGCGTCCTCAGYCCGCGGTCCAGCTACGCGAGCACGGCCAGCGACACGAGCAAGCACTCGAGCCCGCGGGCCAGCCTGAACAGCTGCGACTGCTGCAGCAAGCCCAGCAGCAACCGGACCAGCGGCATCAGCATGGGCTACGACCAGCGGCACGCCAGCCCCAGGTCCAGCACCGCCAGCCAGTACTCCTTCACCACCAGCCCGAGGTCCAGCTACTCGGACTCGCGGTACGGGCCCGCGGTCAACCACCACGACGTGGAGGGAGTCATCCTGCACGCGGCGCCGCTGGCCAGCCCGCGCTCCAGCCTCTGCAGCCAGGATGGCGGCGCCAGACCGGGGGCCGGCGCCAACAACTGCGTGGTCAGCCCGCGCTCCAGCATCTCCAGCCACAGCTCCAGGAGCTCCCGCAGCTCCCGGGGCTCTATGAGCGCCTACCCGGACCTGCAGCAGCTGCCCTCGCCGCGGTCGTCCATGCTGGGCAGCAGCTTGCACGAGGACTCCCTGCTGCAGGAGTTCGCGGACTCCAACGGGACTCAGACCCGCATCCACCTCCAAGTGGTGCCCGAGCCCCAGCAGCAGGTCCAGGCGGCAGGGACGGGCGACATCGTAGCCGCCGGGTCCTCCGTGAGCTACGGGGTGTCCTCTAAAGCGGCCTCGACGGGACAGAGGTTCAAGTTACCCTACCAGGTGACCCCCAGCCGCGAGAGTGGGCCGAGCCAGGCGGAGAAGCGGCTGGAGGCGCTCACCCTGGAGCTGGAGAAGGAGTTAGAGATGCACATGAAGAAGGAGTACTTTGGTAGGTTGCTTCGTTTCTCAACACACATCAGTGTTTGTATGTTTATGACATGAGGAAAGGACTGCTTTTTAAAGCATCTGTCTAATAAGCATTTTCTACCCATAATGCATTTCACTGATCTGAAAGGTCCAACTTTCCAGCACTTTTTTTGAACAGAAAGGGATTAAACCGAGACCTGCCTTGTTACTGAGCATTATTTACAAACTGATAAAGCTACTGGTTTCAAAGGAAGAAGTCAAACATATTTAAGGTTATTCTGAACAATATCAAATCGAGTTTAATCGTTTTCCAGATGCATTTATATATCATTCTGAAATGCAGGTACACACTCAATGTAAACAAAGCATTTTACTCCACAAATGTGAGCATTATTACTCACTAATGCATTGAAAATGTTAAACTTCTCAATGCCAAATGACTCTTCTATTAATGTTGCCATTGGTGACTGATTTTTGGGCTCTTCCACTGTTTTCGTAGGTAAAAAAAACTCAACGTGGTCGCCTCTGATCCCAAAATTATCTTGCAAATATTTAACTTTAGGTCACATTAGCTATAAATATGAGAAAAATGTACTTCTTTTCTTTATTTTATTATTTTTACCCATTTTCACAATTTTAAAATGAGTAGCTTCGATGCTACATCACCGCTAACAGGTCACCCTCTGGCTGATAAGACATGCTTTGCAGGGCAGTACTAATGTGTTGGCAGAGCTAACATTTGCGGAGCACGGCATGGAGCTGAATAGAGCCCACTGTTCTGGCAGAACACACACACACACACACACACACACCCTTAGGTCACTCAGATCAGTGTGGTTAGTTGAAAATGCAGCATGGACCGGGACAGTTTGCTGTGAGAGTTCCTGCAGGGCTACCCAAACTGGAAAAGTTTCATTTCACGGGATCAGACAGGCCTCGTTCGACCTCGCCAAAGGTTTTTGTTTTTAGAATTTGCCGTGCGTTGTTGTGTTGTGAGACTGTAACCGTGTTTGTTCCCCCCCCCCAGCCACAGAAAGCCTGCTGAGGAAGTGGACGTCTATCTTTCTGAGCCAGACAAATAGCTGCAGCCGGCAGTGGCTCGTTTTTGTAGAGAGTTCACTTGCTCAGAGTGACGCTGAGACAGCTGTTGATTTGTTCCAGAGAGAGAGGCAGGTGAAAGAAGAGGAAGAGGAGGAGGAGGATGGACGACAGAAGGGAGAAAGGAGGAAGGCACAGAGGGGTGGAGCGGTGGTGGAGGAAGAAGAAGAGCAGTGGAGATAATGGAGGTGGTAAAAGATAGAGGAAAGGGAGGGGAAATGCAGTCTTCTCAGTCTGAGCCCAATAGAGACAGCTCTGTGTAGGAATTGATCGCTGGGTGGGGTGTGTGTGTGTGTGTGTGGGGGGGGGGGTGCCAGCGTCCCACACAGTGTCCCACTCTGCCGGCCGGCCCCTTGTGTGGCCTCTGTTTGTTGTGGTGGCGAAGGAGCTGTGAATCAACAGCTGGTCCGATGGCGGAGAGCACAACGAGTCCCACCCCGCCTCCGCTGTCCCGCCCTCTCCAACAACCCCACCCACCCCACCCGGCAAAGCCCTTCATTAACCAGCCAGTGGGGAGTCGGGCAACACCAGACACTTGGCACACGATCCTGGCTGGCGGGCCAGAGCCAGACAGAGTTAGTGGGGGTCAAGTCTGATCACCTGCCCAGAATTATAATGGCAGCAGTCATGCCCAGGTCTGACACACATGGAGACGCACACAAGTGTGTGTGTGTGTGTGTGTGTGTGTGTGTGTGTGTGTGTGTGTGTGTGTGTGTGTGT